TCTTCGCACTCTTTAATATCATCCTTGATATTTATTTTAGGTCTATATTCTATTTTCGTCTCTAAACTTTGATGCACGAAGCCTTTCTTACCAACGACAGCCACAACTTGCACACTTGCAACAGATTGGCCTCGTGCACAACTAGATGGGAATGCCTGTAGAGTCTGACTCGAGAGCATAGCATTGAAAATATGGACAGTGTATGAATAACAATAGTTCATAACTCCATGAGAAAAGCCAAAATCAATAGATCACAACTCCTTGGTGCCATTTAGGACTCCCAACTCCAAAACCATTTCACCTTTCAATGTTTCTGTTACATAATTTTGGACAAGTTTACAGCTTAGAACTTCAAACAACATTTCTAAGAGAATTGTTTCGTTTTGATATAAGAATCTACAGGCCAGTTGGAGTGGAATCTTGAACTTTCCATTTCATTAAGCAAAGCCAACTATTGGTGAAACAGCCTCAGTTCCAGCAACACATTCATCCTCCACGTATGGAATTGTTCTCCATACATCCAACTTCATGGGAAGACTCGCTGTTCCTGTAAATATACCGAAGTATAAGCTTATATCAATCACCAAGTGTTACTGTTTGATATTGTAAAAGTGAACTTCACCTCTAATATTCGCGTCTTTTTTCATGCAAACAGCAACATAATGAGAACCCGACAACTCCATCAAAGCAAATGTCACGTTTCTTGAGCAGTTTTCGGGATCATCACGAGGCTCTACACTTACTTCATAAGCCTGGTACAACATAGCCATTTATGAAATTCGTAGTACAAGAACCATGAAGAAAAAATGGTTGTTCATATTCTTTAAAGCATTGTAAAATAATAACCCAACAAGCTGGCTACATGCTTATTTGGTAAAGCCTATATACGATTCACATTCCATTTCGAATCTCCCCTGTTTTTTCTCTTGTAGAGTTTCTTCGAGTCTTGATGAATGGCTTACCTTCTCATTAGTTTCACACCCAGGAAGACATGAACCTCGAGCAGTTCTGTTAAACCGAATAGTGAAAGTCTTGAAAGGAGTAGCTGAGAAGCCCCTACCCAACGCTTTGACATATGCCTCCTATAAAAGTTTCAGTAAATGAATTTACACCAATAAAAAGGAAGAGAAGACACCAATAAAAAGGAAGAGAAGAAATTTTCAAATGCAAATGAAGTGACTTTATACCTACCAGAAATTTCCCATAATCAACCATGCACACAAGAAAAAAAATCGAGAATATACTTTAGAGGTAATAATAATAAGAATGTGAGATCCAATATCGATTAGAGAGGAGAACGAAACATTTCTTATAAGGGTGTGAAAACCTCTCTAGTAGACGCGTTTTAAAACTTTGAGGGGAAGCTCAAAAGCGAAAGCCCAAAGAGGACAATGTCTGCCTACAGTGGGTTTGGGCGGTTACAAATGGTATTAGAGCCAGACAACGGGCGATGTGCTAGCGAGGAGGCTGAGCCCCAAAGGGGAGGGACACGAGGCAGTTTGCCAACAAGGACGTTGAGTCCTGAAGGTGTGTGGATTGGGAGGTCCCACATCGATTGGAGAAGGGAACGAGTGCGAGCGAAGACACTGGACCCTGAAGGGAGGTAGATTCTGAGATCCCCACATCGATTGAAGAGGGGAATGAAACATTTCTTGTAAGGATGTGGAAACCTCTCCCCTAGTAGTACACGCATTTTACGTTTTAAAACCTTGAAGGGAAGCTCAGAAGGAAAAGCCCAAAGAGGACAATATTGACATAATATGCTTTCCAGACGTGCCTAAGATCTCAAATGCAATTGCAAGTAGAAAATTGATACGTCATGGACGCTATTGCAACTCACCTTCAGAGTCCATAATTTGATGAATTCCTGCCGCTGGATTTCAGGATCTGAAATAGCAGATAAAACTTCTATTTCATTTGGAGAAAAGAAACGTTTAGCAAAAGCTATGATGTTGTTCCTTATTTTTCGTGTCTTCTCTTCCACATCAATACCAATCTGAATTAGAAATCACACAAGTTAATTATGTTTAACAATTGAAATCATTTACTCACTACAAATCCAAAGAAGATATTGCAGAAGTAGAAAATGTAGCATGTAAAGTAGACACTTACTGGAGAATTCATAGTCACTCCACAGGCTATTAAGGATGAAGAATGTGAGATGTTGAATTGCAATGGTGGTAGACACAGTTCACTGCTAATTCGCAAATCTAACTATTCAACAATTATATAAATATGAACAAATGGAAAAACAAAAACCGAAGAGAACGCGAAGTTACACAGAACCTCGAGAAAAGTCGAATGTAAACAGTAAATAAATGAAAAAAAGGAAAAGATATCACCTCAGGCTTCCCAAACTTATTCTTTTTAAACTTCAAGGCTTGTGGATCAATTTGACAATGTGTAACATCTAGGAAGAAAATAGCATATTTCAGGCATAACAGCAAAAAGAAACTTGCACGTCATATTTAAAATATATGGTAAATATCGCCATGCCCCACTATACTCTTTCATTTTCATTTTCAAATCTCAAGCCGAAAGGATTCGTTTTGGCTAGAGCGCCCAAATCCGCTGAAAGGGTGCTCTCCAATCTTTTGATTAGGAAAGCGGCACATACTAGGGGTAGTGACTGTTTATTAAAAACACAGGACTCTACTAAGTGGTAACACAATGAGAGTCTAACACCTGCCCAGTGCCAAAAAGTTTTCATCGTGCAAGTATAAACATTACAAATGAAATAACAATAAAAGGACTCACATCTTGAAAGGGTAGATCGTACCAAAGCACGAGCTAGCAAGGCTCTTTTTTGAAGCTCCCCTTCTTGTATTTTCATAACATTCACCTTTTCATTTGGTGAGAGTAGATTTAAATAATGATTTTGAAGATCTTTATTCTTTACTTCATCAGGTAAGATATACCAGATATGGGTTTCCCTGAAAAGCAAGGAAATAGTAAAGAATAAATCTTGGCGGTCGGGATCATTCTAAAATACTGAGAAATCTTGTAAGCTACATGATCCACCTAATCACCAAATGATGCATGCACTATACAACAATAGGCCACTGAACATTGAAATGTACCATCAGTAACAGCCCAAGTCACGTTTAAATTAGAACAGCCCAAGCCACCACTAGTAGATATTGTCCGCTTCGGCCTGTTATGTATCACTGTCAGCCTCTCGGTTTAAAATGCGTCTACTAGGGAGAGGTTTCCACACCCTTATAAGGAATGCTTCATTCCCCTCTCCAATCGATGTGGGATCTTGCATATATATTATCCATAATGACAAATGCTCATACATTTTAGAAGGGAGTTGCATTGGAACAAGAGGGGATGCAGCAGTGGCAAAACTCCTTGGGAAAAAATGCATGTTTGTTCTGGTTCTGGCTCTATGCAGAGATGAGAACATAGATGCCGTGAACTGTACGTATGATCGATCGTTGATAAAAGTCAATTTATGACCATGGCTCCATCGAAGCAACAAAAAGTTACCTGTAATAAAGTGAGATTATTGAAGACATAAAATGTGAAAGGACCAAGTGCAAAAAAATGAAGACCATCATCTATAGCAACTGAATTCAAAATAATAATCAAACAAGAATTTAATCCAAGCTACGTGCCACCTTGAAAAAGTACATGCATCTAATCATATAAACATATGCTCTATCACTTGCGTATTAATTCTCATGGCGTTGTGTGATCATCCCCCTCAATGGCATATGCCCTATCACTCTATGGCTATGAAAATCATAGATTCCAGAAAGAATAGTCTAATTATGAGTAAAAAACCATAGAAACCAAGTATTGACCATGATTTATGCCCAACATAAAAGCAAAAACATAGTGCAAACATTAAGTAATTGCATTGCATGTTATTAAAACAAACCTCAGCTCGTTTCGCCTCGTTCTTGCCTGGTGTTGGCCGAAAACGAAAGATATCGCGGCTTCACAACAATCGAGGCTGTCTGATCAAAATTTTCACCAAAAACAGGAAGCATTCTCAGAGGTGAAAAAACGACAAATTGAAACATGAGGAGAAAGGGGGAAAGTGAAGGAAGTACCGATGGTGGGTTTTGGTGAGTGATTCAATCGGTGGAAATTGCATTTGAGTGAGGAGAAAGACGACGAAGATCGAACCTGCTGGCGTTGAGGAGAATAACCAAAAAAAACAGTGCATGGCCACAGCTAGGGCTTTCGTGGGCCGTCGATGAAAGTTCGCCCAGATCCTACTACTTGACCCGACCCGACCCAAAACGACACCGTTTTGCGAAGTAATATGATGTTGGGTAATGGATGACGTGTCTTTTATTTTTATGTTTTTTCGTTACTACAATCTCCCTTAAATTTTAAAATGTTTTATTACTATCCTTCCACTTTTAAACATAGTTTGAAAATAAGTACTATTTTTAAATAAATATTTATGAAATTTAAAGATAAATTTCATTTTCCGAATTCTCGAGACTCTCCTTCGAAATAGTGTTCGAGTCATAGTAATGAAATAGTGTTCGAGTCACAGCAAGGAAGATCTTGTGAAATATTGAAGAACTTCTGTCTCGTGGAATATTAAAGAACTTCTGTCTTGTGAAATATGAAATATTAAAGAACTTCTGTCTTGTGAAATATTGAAGAACTTCTGCATAGTTCGAATAGTCTTGCAAACTAAGGTTTTTACAGAGATTGCAGTGTTATTCACAGCTCTCTAAACCTTTATAAACATATATTCAAAAAGGTTTTACCGATAAAAGTCATATACAAGTAAATTATGGATTATTTTCCTTTTTAAAAATATTATAGCGACCAGAGTACACATTATTAACACGACCAAAGTACACATATGGTCCTACTAGTCCTGTTGTGCTTTTTTCACTCAAAACAAATATCATCTTTTCAATATGTTTCATATCATTGCTGTTCAACCGTTGATCCAAATGACATTATCAGAACCAACAACAGAATACTAGAGAAAGAGAGACCGAGAGAGAGAGAGAGAGAGAGAGAGAGAGACACTCAACAGATTTCCATTGCAATGAAATTCCCGACTTTACATCAAACCTAATAGAGGAAACCTTTCTTTTCTCTAGCCATTCTTTTTTCTTTTGTTTTGTGGGGGTGGGTGGGTTAATAAGAGGATTCCATTTGTAATAAACTAATAATTATCATCAGAAATTAGATTCATCCTCTGCAAATTTCAATAAAAACTTCAAAATTGAATGCTTCGGATCATCCATGCCTTCTTCTTCTTCTTTATCTTTAATCTTGAACACAGCTTTCATTATCCGAGTATATAGTCTTTCAAGCTGTGGAATTCCGTACTTCCCACTCCGCTCCACAAGCACGTTCTTCACCGACTCGACTTGCCTCGCGATATACCCATCCGATACCCCAGCAGCATCTTGTGAACCATTCCAATCTGTGAAATCGGGGACCTCTCTACCAGAACCTTCACACTGATTCCCACCATCCGGACAGGTTTTTGAACTTTCATGACTCACTTCATTCATTTCGATATCGGGAGATGGCTTTGGCACAACTGAATCTTGACGCAGTGGTGGTTTCTCTTCTGTTTGTAAAGCTGACAGTCAAAAACTTAATACCAAGAAAGAGGGGAATGATATAGTAGCAGCAAAAAGGCAACCAATTTTTTGGATACCAAAACCAATAAATCCCACCAGAGAAACAAACAATTCATTGCAGGATGAAATGGGTTTTGCAAAATCCTAGCTATCTATTGGGCTAAGTGCATGACTTTCAGCTCGCAACTATTTAGACAGAAACACACTAAAAAAACTATGCCTACTTGGAACCTAGACATGATTCTGCACATTATCCCTTAGTTTAGCCAAACCATGTTGGTCGGGTCTAATTATGTGATCAGGCAATCAGCAAATGCACTAAAAAAAGTAAGAAGCCATAACCAACAACCATTTTTGAAGTAAGAACCCATCACCCATGACCAACAATCAACACTCATTTCCGTGAGACCTAATCTTAAATGTGTTAAGTAATAAGTTTATTTTCATGCACGGTAATACATACATATACATATCTTAACCTCCATCCGTATCCAGAACTTGAAATGGGGTGGGGCTACTTCGGAGTAAAAGAATATATCTTCAGTACTTCACGATTTAAGAAACATATAAAAAGTGAACTTCTAATTGGCGTTTATTAACACAGTACCTGCATGATGAGCAGCATCCACATTCTTCTTTGGGCGTTTTAATGCCTCATAACTTCGATTGAAATCAAGGTCTGGGTGGACATTACGCAATCGAGCACTAGCTCGAGTAGCAGTTCCCAGCTGCACAACTGGGGTAGATGGAAACATAGTTCCACCAAGTTCTTCGGGCATGTTCAGAGGACCACCTTGGGCAGCTATCTTGTCACAGAATGCAATCAGCGCCGGATCCATCTGCGTCAGCATTCCATGCACCTGTGGATAGAGATATCAAAGCTGATAAGGCCACTTAAATTTAGATGAAACTCATGTAAAACAAACAAATGAACATACTGCATCTCGAAGCTCGTAAGCTCTGCTAACAATCCGAGCACCATTGTAGTCATTTCCATTATAAGCCTGAAACCAATATGAAGTCTATAAGAATTCATTGCTCATTAACAAATATGGGTAAGAAAAGCTCAGTAGAAGTGACCCTTTCTTCGTTTTATGGGGTTGAGAAACACACTGGTTTCATTGATTTTTTACAGAAATGCTCGATTTATTAAAATAATTAGAACCAAAACGCTCAAGCACCAAATCCACGCACACAAATGGGTATGAACACAAAGAAATCATATCTGCTAAATCAAGTTTGCCCCACCAAATTCTGGCAGTAACTCTTCCCCAAGCCTCCAACACAGCAACTAATTGACCTCCTTAATCATATCTACTACAGTTTGAATTGCGTAAACAACCCACCAGAGAGATGTTCAAATATGATTTAGTACAAAATGAAAAAAAAATAAAAAAACAAAATTATAGGTCCATAGGTTCCCTCTGAGCAGTATATTGCTTAAGCTTTATTTGGAGGCTGTCTAAATTACTTAAGTTAATTGTTATAAATAATATTTATTTAGACGTCTCAATTCACTTGGATGACACCCTTGCACAACCACTACTCGACATACTTTCACACAAATTTTCATATTTTTAGGTTAGCTAATTCAATCAACACGTAGTTTATGTAGAAAAATCTGTTAATAGGAGTACCTTTGCATTAGAAACAATAAGATCTACATCTTGGACAAATGCTGAACAAGTAATATACTGCCCAGCGTCAACGTGTTGAAGTAATGTAGCCATGTCCATTGGGTTCTGGACCACTGAGCGGTAATTGGGAGCTTCCTCATCCAGAACAGGGTAATGGAAGACAGTAAACCTTTTATCATATAAAATCCTGCCAAACAGGAACAACAAAATCTATTTAAACAAAAAAAAAATGAAGTATTTGGCAATCAAATTCAAATAAAGGAACGCAACTGTTCACTCAAAGTCTTCAAATTTGCTAACCTTTGAAAAAGTAGTAAATTAAAAAAACCTACAGAATGTACTAAAAACCCTATTTCTTCCCCAAAATAATCAAATCCCAAACACAGCAGAAACCTTTACAGTAAAAGAAAAAGATGCAATTCTAGGTCTTAAAAAAGAAAAAGAGGGAATCCAGCCTTCATCCAGCTGACTAAGTCAAATAAATAAAACAAGGACTGTATGAGGTCGGTAGTGTACAGAAAACAAGGAAAATAAGTACCTATAAAAGAACTTAAAGAGTCTGAAGCCCAAAGGCAGACAGAAGGTAAGTCCCTTGAAGGAAATGCTAAGAGTTTTTGGAATTGTCCAGTGAGAGCTTTTTTTTTTATGGTTTGGAAGGAGAAAAACTAAAGAATTTTTAAAAATAGTTCCATCTTCAATGTATTGTTTTTGGAGTAATGTACAACATACTACGTACTAAAACCAAAAGAAATTCTTTTGTAACTACTCATGAATCTAAATGATTTAAAGGCTTCAATTGTGAAATTTGCTAATTTGGGTGGGGATTCTCTTTTGCCCTGCCCTTAGGTTTTTCTCCCGTTTGTGTTTATAATACATCCCTCGTTTCTTATCTGAAACAAAAACAGAGGAATTCAAAAGGTAAAAAGACTAGGTAGTTGAATAATAAATTTGAAATGAAGTTTGATGATTGTAAAGAACAGGACTTTCATCGAGAAAAAGAAAGAAGATAGAACATGGTTACAAGAGAACAACGCACAACAAATAATTAACTCTCAGCTAGTCGATGACATTGTGCCTGTTATCTTAGAATGGGAAAATTGAATAATATAGACAAATTAAAGTCATTGATTCTATAATACAGTTCAGCAAATAATCCTCATAAGTACATAATAAAATGACTGTTATCTTAGCATGGGATCTCACCTGTTGCAAACATCTCTAAGGCACATGCGTAATCGTCGAAGGGCATGCTGTTCAGCTTCTACCTTGGCCCTTAACTCAGAAGCCTTTGGTCCACTGGCTACTACTGGAGCCTTGGGAAGTTCAGGAAGGGATCCTGACACTTGCACTTTTTTCTGCATGCCCTCCAGCAAAACTGAGGAAGCAGCCTCAATTAAATGGGTAAAAAACAGAGACTTATCTTCACTGGACGGAGGACTGACTTGATAGCTGGTAATTAGACAAGAAAAAACGGAACACGTTAAGCACAAATAGTTATTCATAAACAAAAGAATATTATTAGCTGATGTACTTTCTGTATAAAAGATTCTAAAAAGAAATACAATAAAAGCAGAATTATTTATCTCTTTTGTCAATCAACTACTAAGTACTTTTTTCTTAGTAAACCAATTTCATTAAAAAGAACGAAAATATATGTAATCAAAAAAAGTGGAAAATTACAAGGAAAAAACAACTAGGAATGAATAAAACAGAGAAAGCAGTTAAAAGAACCCCCTGAATCATAAAATATCTTCCTATTCATTCTCAAGCCAAATCTACCAAAAACCATAAATAAAAAAAGAAAAAAGAAAAAAGAAAAAAAAAAACTTTCAGATGAAACAATCAAAAAAAAAAAACAACAGACCACCCATACGGATTACAAAGTTGATCAAACTACAAGGGGCGTTTTCAGATGAAAAGGATGCCATCCAATTAAAATTACTAAGCTATAGTGACATTATGGTCTAAACCGACAGACCCTTTGTTGTTCCATATGAAAAGGATATAAGAATCGGAGTTGTTTAGAAGCAACAAAAGGATCTGGTTTTAAAATATGTATCTAAATGTCATTTATGCATAATAAGATAATAAACAAAGCTTAATTTCTTAGTAATAATTTCACTCAAAGTAAAAGAAGGCATACATTACGCGATCAGGAAAAATCATAGAAGCTTTCTCATCAACTTCAGCAAGTGAAACTAAAGATGTTCCAAGCAGTAATATGGGTAAGTCAGAAGGTAGCTCCTCTAAAAGAGTCAATAAAACAGCTCTCAATTGCTCATCTGCCTGAAATGTCCACCATTAAACCAACCCAGCACATTAAATGATGTTAGAATACTAGTAAAAACAAAATAAAATAAAATAAAGCATTAATGCCTAAATATTGAGTATCTCGAGTAACAAACTCACCGTCTCCCACCAACAATGAAATTGAGGTAGGTAGAGTATTGATGGAGTAGTCCTTCTTGCTTCACCAAATATATGTACCAACGCTTCCTCAGGTGTCTTTGCACTAGGATCAGAAAGCAGTGACGGAAGTCCCAAAGAATGAACAGGGAATTTCTCCAATTCATGCAAAATTGCAGGACCAAGGTGATCCTGTAAAACTAAAACAGTAAGTACATTTAGTTGGTTGCTCCAAAGTGATCATAGGAAAATATAAGGAGGTTCCAAGATAATTACCAACCCAACGCCTTCACCACCGCAAAGCAAAAGACGAGGTCTAAAAACTAGCGGAATTGCGGATCCAAAAGAAAGCATGGAAAGTTTGGCAAACTCTGACGATGCTGCTAATGGAAAGGCATCAGATAGGATATTCATGGCTTTATGAAGGTGTCGTTGCAAACATGGCGCAACTACAGAAGACAGCGGCCGAGAATGCACTACAGCACCTCGATGAGCAGCAGGAGTGATTGTGGACATGGCTTCAACAAAATGATACTTTTCAACCTTGACTGACTCAACATCTATTAGAAACTTGTCATCGCTAGTATAAACCTGAGGATACTTTTGGCGGAAAGCTTGAATAGCAGCTTCAGTGCAGAGAGCCTTCAAATCAGCACCACAATAACCTACACAAGTAGCAGCAAGTTCAGATCGAAGCTCCTCCGAAGGAGGATTCTTCCACTTGCGCGTGTGAATGGCCAATATCTCAGCACGCGCATCACAACCAGGCAGTGGAAAGTTAAATTCACGATCAAAACGACCAGGGCGGCGTAGGGCTCCATCGATAGCATCTATCCGATTAGTAGCTCCAATTAATACAACCTGCCCACGAGAGTCTAACCCATCCATCAAAGCAAGCAAAGTGGAAACGATGGAATTATGAATCTGCTCCTGTTTGCTAGATCTAACAGGAGCAAGCCCATCAATTTCATCAAAGAATATGATAGAAGGTTGATTCCTCTGTGCTTCTTCAAAAAGTAGTTTCAGTTGTCGCTCAGCCTCACCAACCCACTTGCTTAGAACATCAGCACCCTTCCGCATGTAGAAACTGACCTTTTGGCCGGCCTTTGATGCAGCACATGCTAATGCTCTAGCAATTAATGTTTTCCCAGTGCCTGGAGGCCCACACAACAGCACTCCTCTCGGTGGAGTTATATGATAACTTGCGAAGAAATCAGGGTAGAGTAAAGGAAAGAATACCATCTCCTTCAAAGCATCAATATATCCTGACAAGCCACCAATGTCATCAAAGCTAACATTTTCATCAACTTGTACAGGTTGAATATCAGCCCCACCTTTAGAGCTTGGTCCAGCAGTTTGAATACCAGATGATAAACTTGAAAATGCATCACTTTGATGACCCCAACCAGATGCAGCAATATTCAATCCCCAAGACGCAGTCCCATGCATGTCCAATCCTCCAAACAGCCAAGGTGGGCCAGATCTACTTCCACCTCGAGCCCATGGTATACCAGGTGCTTGATCCAGCTCATCCACAAGAAGAGAATCGTCGGAATCTTCAATCCTTGACATACGACGTTTATGAACTCTTGATCCACCCCTCCTTACATCTCTCCCAACCTTGGTGCCCATTCCTTGATGTAACACTCTACGAGGAGATGTTGGTCTTGGTTTACCTTCTCCAATAGAGAGTCTCCGAGCATCGGGACGATTTCGAAGATCATATCGCCTTCGTACCTCCTGTTCTTCTTCACCTCCTTCATCATCACCATCTTCCTCACCCTCATCTTCAGGTTCAGGATCACCGTCATCATCATTTTGAATATCTTCCACATCATTATCCTCTATATCATTCCCATTTTCAATCTCATCTTGGCTCGCTTTATCTTCTGAGCTACCTTGCTCATCATCTGATTCTGAATTCAAACGCTCTCTAGAAATTAGTCGAGAATGACGTGGTCGTAATCCCTCACGCCTAGGAGTAGGTCTGTTCTCCTTGTTTTTCGTATGCTTTGGAGAAGAAAAAACATTTTTATTTGAGTTACTAATCCTCCGACTCCTCGACGTTTTATACTTGGGACTCTGTAACAAGTTACTCAGCTTCAGTCTAGGTGACAAATACAGGTTATATTTCCACAATACATTTTGAAGCATCTAACCAATCAAAGTTGAGTTCAGGAAGAAAACTAATTCTTCGAACATTAAATCTCACCATTAAATCCTCGTCTTCAGAATCACTGTAACGGCTAAAATTTGGACGCCCCCTCTTCTGTCGTTGAGAACGCCGCAAATTTTCAACTGGCTGCTAATACACATGAGAAAATATAAAAGTTTGAGATAATGTAGAGTTTAAAAGAGACAAACCCATACAATCATTAACTTGTACCAGGGGCAAAATCCATTTACCTAACCTGGATGAGTTAATTTTAATCTTGAACTATCGATTTCATTCAAGTCAGAAGTAGAATAACAAATAGGGCAGAGAAATAACCAACAATATCCTGTAAAATTCTACCAATAAAATACCTAAAATTGAGACAGAAATATGTCAAGCCAACCACGAAAATACCCAAATCTAACCATAAATTGAGCAGGAATATCAAAACTCAAAACTTGATTTTAGAAGAAGAAGACATTCCCCTTACACATCCATGAAGCATCTGACTCCTTCCCAAATATACAAATTCAACAGAAAAAAAGCATCAAACAAAATAGCCTAATAATCCTTGCACAAGAATGCCAAAGTCTAGCCACAATTGTTCAAAAGAAACACAAAAACATAATTGATTGAGGATAGCAGTTTGATGAAACTAAAACTCAACGCTAAATTTCAAACCTATCCATCCCTTCTCACAAGCAAAACATACAGATCAGAAACATAGAACTATAGAAAGAAGAATGCAAAAAAAACATACATCCTATGCCACAAAGCTACTCCAAAGGGATCATACAGATCAGAAACTCCCACTACTAGAGACCTACTCGAAAGGGTTAATCCTGTACTTACTCACAATAACTCTATATACCACAAAGCATTTTTTTCAGCGATTTGTTAACTGGATCCATGCAAATTCTCCACTTATCCCAAATCCTTTATTTCCAACAACCTTGTCTTAAAAAAAATCGAGTAATATGTACTTAGAGATGATTTTTAAATTTAGTATCTATCCTAGCTATAATCAATTCCAAAAAGATTTTTTGAATTGATATAAGATACAGGATATAGTTCTGTTCTCACGACAGCATTCGTAGTTGGCAAGGATTGCTTCTTTGGACGGAGCATCTTGGCAATTCTAGTAGCTGGGGTTCTTTTCTTGTTGGGTTTGAAAGATGCAGAAGGACCATAATATACATATGGACGACCATATGATATTGGCCTCCTTCTTGGTCGAGCACTTGTTCGTAGTGGGCTGGAGACTGGTCCATCCCCTAAACCAGTTTGCTTTGGATACATGGGCGATAGAAGAGCTAGATGGGATTGATCAAATTTCCGGTGAATGCTTCTGAAGACAGCATCTGACAAGCAATTAACCTCGTCAATTTTCAGCAAATGACTCAGCAATAAAAATATAAGAAAACACTCTAGCCAACATGCATTTTCAAATATCCAACCAATGAAATTGGGAGGACTGTTATGATGTTCCTAATAATGAAATTGTCATTCATCCCCATCATTGTCATAACAATGAGCTTTTAAGATATCCAACCAACATCATGGTAAAAAAAACCACTACAAAAAGTTTAAAATAAGATCAAGATGTTCCTAATACGCTTTACAGTTTACCATGACAATAACAATGCTAGAAAGTGACAAAATCTTGATCACGAATGATGGAACACAGTCCAAGAGTAGAGGGTACAAATCATTTAACAAGACGCACATTCCTAACCATGGTTTGGTCAATCTTATCTTAACGATAAAGGTTATAAGAGGTAATATTGCAGACTTAATATATCCCCTCTAAAAACGAAATATACCCGGACAGCACAAATACATATGCCCAAAATTACATGACTTCCTTGGAATTACTTGCATATTAATTCTCATGGCGCTGTGTGATCATCCCCCTTAATGGCATATGCCCTATCACTCTATGGCTATTAAAAACATAGATTCCAGAAAGAATAGTCTAATTCTGAGTGAAAAACATAGAAACCAAGTATTGACCATGATTTATGCCCAACATAAAAGCAAAAACATAGTGCAAACATTAAGTAATTGCATTGCATGTTATTAAAACAAACCTCAGCTCGTTTCGCCTCGCTCTTGCCTGGTGTTGGCCCAAAACGAAAGATATCGCAGGCTTCACAACAATCAAGGCAGTCTGATCAAAATTTTCACCAAAAACAGGAAGCATTCTCAGAGCTGAAAAAACGAGAAATTGAAACAAGGGAAGAAAGGGGGAAAGTGAAGAAAGTACCGATGGTGGGTTTTGGTGAGTGATTCAATTGGTGGAAATTGCATTTGAGTGAGGAGAAAGACGACGAAGACTGGGGAAGAAGATCGAACCTGCTGGCGTTGAGGAGAATAACCAAAAAACAATTGCTACGGGGAAGACGGAAGAGAGTGCATGGCCACAGCTAGGGCTTTCGTGGGCCGTCGATTTGTAGGGCCGTTGTTGGGCCGTCGATGAATGTTCGCCCGGATCCTACCTTGACCCGACCCGACCCGACTCAAAACGATCCCGTTTTGGAAAGTAATATGATGTTGTGTAATATGTCTTTTATTTATTTATTTTTTTCGTTACAAAAAAACCATTACCTTTTGTAAAAATATCTCCAAACTTTTAAAATTTTAAATAATACTCTTAAATCTTAAAATAATCTAAAAAGCATTTTTTATTGAAAAAAAAATATCTCTACTTTTAAAATTTTACTCTTATCTTAAAAAATACTATTAATATTTCAAATATAACATTACCCTTATAAAAAAAAATTAAAAACATTACCGTATATATGGATAGAAACAATTTATCGATGACTTAATAGATTATCTCCCTCTTTAATAATGTTACTTTTAAAGGTTCATTTGCATTTTTGAAACACGGTATTAAGTTTTAAAAACTCAAGCATATTTTTTTAAAAATAGTATTTTTTAAAATAAAATATTAACCATTTTCATATAAGTATTTTTTAATTTTGTTTTTTTAGAGTTTTTGGAAAGTTGGTATTATTGAAAAATTTTAAAATTCAACCGAATATTATTTTTATTAATTTAGCAATAATAAAAAAAATTATTTTAACCAATAAGTTTAGGGTAATAGGAAAAAAGGTAAAAATAGTTTATTTTTTTAATAGTATTATATTTTTAAGTAAAAAAATAAAAATACGCAAAACTTGTAATCTACCTTATGAATTTATTATAAAAGGAAAATACAAAGACATTAAAATATATAATTATTTGTGTTAAAAAATTTAATAAAAGATCATAAAAACAAAAAAAATACAAATTAACTTATTCATAAAAATAGTTATTAAATAAAAAATATATAATTAAATTACAATTTTGTTTAACATCAATTCATAAAATTAATAAAAAAAATAATATAATCAACTAAATTTTAGAAGTCTAGACTGCTAAATCTCTCTTCACTGTGGCCGAGCTAAAAAAAACGTATCCCATTAACCTAACCAGTTCCATAACACCTTAACAATATTGTATGATATTGTCGGCATAAACTCTCGTGGCTTTGATTTGGGCTTTTCAAGAGGTCTCATTCCAATACAGATTGTATTCCTTACTATAAATACTATAAACTCTGGTGTATTGTTTTGTACTTTTCAAGAGACCTCATTTCAATAGATATAGTATTTTTTATTAAAAATACTATAAATTCATGATCATTCTCTAAATTAGAGTATACAAATATTGATCCGTGCACAAAAACAATTGTAATTACAACAAAGAATCAGATTAAAAAAAGAAAACTATATAAATTTAAATAAATAGATTTGTTCATAAATAAATAAACACTCACATCACCCAGCGATGATTCTCCGGAGACGAGTCTCCGGCGGCGTGGATTTCACCGGTTCGTCTGCGGATTCGCGATCAGTTGGTGCGAGATGAGGGCTGAAGAAAAGGTTACTTTCTGCGGAGAGCGAACAGTGAAGGAAATCGACGGCTATGAAATCCAAAAGGTTACATTATGCGGAGAGCGAACAGCGAAGGAAATCGACGGCTATGAAATTCAATATGAAGGAGGAGGAGGAGGAAGAAGAGAAGATTTGGCTGAATTTCAGGGAAGCGGAATTTGATCGAGATCCGCTTTCCTTCTGTGTCTCTTCTCTTGAAACCGAACGGGTTTTTTTATGGAAACTGGTTGAAAAAGGGAATTTTCTCTATAAAAACCAAAATATTTTAATTTCATTTTTTAATATTCAATTTTATTTTTATAAATAATTTTTTAATCATTTAACAGAAAGCTAATTTTAAAAAATAGCTTATAGTTTTTAAATTTTCATTATTCCGTCGGATAATAATGATAAATTATTCCATAATAAATGTTGATTTTTAAGGAAATTTTAATATTTGAGATTTAATTATTACATACTCAAATTTATGGACAGGATATTTTTAAATTTTATTATTTGAAATTAAATTATTACATACTGAAATTTATTAACTAAATTTTTAGACAAATCCAGAAATTAATGTTAATTTTTTAAATTTAAAAAAAAAATGGTGCCATGGTTGATAAGGATACATGATTTTATTCACATCCGCATATAATATTAAATTTCCTGTTACCATTCATTTCATCCCAAAAATTAAATCACTTACAAAAGTTATCATGGAATAAGTTTCTTCAGCTTGAGAAGCTTATCCCTCACTCGCATTCGCCTAATCGAGCCGAGCACCACTGGAAAATTTGGTCATGTAGATCTTTGATTTTGTCAGCCTCCAGTCAAGCGTTCTTCAAACGTCGATCAATCCTTTGAACCCACGAAAATTGTCTATTGTCCTTTACTTTTTTAGCGGTTAACCCGAACCAACAGCAAAGAAACTCTGAATCACAAGTATTTGAACAATAAAACACGAAAAAATACATCCCTAAGAACAAAGAAACATGCAAATAAATCTCAAGAACATAATTTCCTCTGAATGATGATTTCCAGTTTAGAAAGTATTGTACAAAAGCAAGGAGAGATACCAGAAATGCATCACTATAGAAATGGACAAACCTTCCCATGAGTATCTGGACGACTGCATTACAAAAACCATCTATTCTTGCCAAAGTCACTCTGATGCCGCATTTCGAAAGCATCCTCTGTATAGCAAACTAAATCAAGAATGAAAAAATCGAAAGTGGAATATCGAAGTAGCGAATTCGGGAATACGAACTACAGCCTTTTTAACTCGTTGAATCGTAGCTAAGTTCTAGCATCCAGCAGCCTTCAAGAACTTGTCATATGGACTTGAAGGTGGTAATCTTAAAGAACAGCGACCATATTCATGTGAACAAGGAAGAGGCTGATCCTCCTTGGCGTAATACTTAAGATCATCCGGAACAATTTCCATTGTCTGAAACGGTACGGCCAAGAGAATGTTAGTTGTTTTACCGTAACCAATTCGGAAAATTATTCAACTCGACAATCACTTTCTACACCATTGGATGTACGGTGAAACCATAACGTTTAGTTTCTCTCCTACACCGAACAGTATAAAACTACCAGCCACGTTATACTAGCCTCGTGAATAATTTTGATATTCTTCAATGAAAGCGTAGAGGGAGAGATAAATTACTCACATTGACAGGTAAAGGAGGATATGAAGTTTCAATTTCACTGGAGAGTACTATCGCCTTCTCTTCCTTTGTTTGCTTGAAACTATGAAGCACTGACATTTTCTCCTGTTTGCATGTTACGAGCGCTTCACATTGACTTTTCATTTGATCGTAAGGAATGGGCGCAGAAGAAACTTGGTTGCTTGCAACTTGTCTGGCTGTTTCGAGCACCTGCAAATAGTACAGACATCACTGACGGAGCCAATATATCATGCATGTAAATAGAAGATATAGCCACTTGCTATTCTCGTTTCGGTTGATCGATACATCGCTTGATACCATAGAGTAGGTTTTAGCATCTCGAAGTTTTACCACCCACACGGAACGAAAATTTTAACTCTACAACCCTATTAGTTCACGACCTCGAGGACTTCGCAGGGTAACCAGACCTTCACAATGCTAGTGTTTAAGGAAAGCAAAACTGTGTTTGTTGCCAGAGCTCCATTGCCGCTATTGCTATGTTTAAGGAAATACAGGTTTTATAACCAACATTTGTTTCCAATATAGTAACAATAAAATATCCTACATGTTGGCAGCAAGTAGAACACAACAGAACTAAAGAGTCAGCATAAATTCATAATTGGAAAATAATAAAGCGTTCACTATGGTCCGAATGCTGTGAAATATTTAATGATAAGTGCAAATTTTGTCTTACTGATTCCAAAAGCTGATTGACATTTAAAATGTCGAGGTTACTGATGGAAAGTGACGTTTTATGATCAGACTGGCTTTCGCTTGGCTCAAGGAAGGCTTCGTCGTCTGTAAAAGCAGCAGGCATAACCTGAAAGAAACACATCGTGGTTTTACTGTTCCTTGTTTACAGGATCATACCAACTAATGTACAACCTAAACAGGTCTCACCTCGTCGTGGTCAGGAAATGCCAGCTTAGCGAGTGGGGAACATGGATGTGGTGTCTCCATAAATAATGGAGCTCCTAATGGGTATGTCTCATCAGGCAAAAACCCATGTAAGAGCTGCACTCGAATACTTGATAACTCAGCCTAAAAGAAAATAAAGATCATTAACACAATCTTTGGAAAAGTACTGATTTCATCAACATTAGCAGATAATTAGACTGCTGGAGTTTTCCTCACAACACCTAGGATTTGGCCCTCCAGATGTTTTGTGGCCACCCATTTCAGGATATAGCTAAAATAGAATCGAAAAAGACCGTCAGGGAGACTTTTGGAGCGTGCGTTTCGTTGATTCCTAGGGGAGTTTCATTGCTAAAGATTCTTGTAACATGTCTCAACTTTTTAGTTTATACCAATCAAATGTGTTTCATTTGAGCTCTCTTGGTATGGTTGGAAAGATGTGCATCTTCCCTCCTAGTTCATAATTTCTATTTAAACAATTTAGACTTCCCTCATAATAGTCCTCCCTGTGGTTTATGTTCTTAAGAGTATAAAAGGAGTTTCATCTCCCCAATGTTATCATTAACCATATTGGGCTTCTAAGCAGGGTTTATATTCCTTGTGAGTCTTGATGATTTTTCCTCTCCCCTAAATTATCATTAATTATAATGTTCTTCATATGC